TATAGAGGCTTAGGTCTATAGATATAATTTTCCTGCCTTCTGCCCATGATTCCTAAAATACTCTTTGATTTCAATCTTTTTTTTTTTTTTGAGACAGAGTCTCACTTTGTTGCCCAGGCTGGAGTGCAATGGTGTGATCTCAGCTCACTGCAACCTCTGCCTCCCGGGTTCAAGTGATTCTCCAACCTCAGCCTTCCAAGTAGCTGGGATTACAGGTATGCACCATCATGCCTGGCTAATTTTTGTATTTTTAGTAGAGATAAGGGGTCGGCATGTTGGCCAGGCAGGTCTCCCACTCCTGACCTCAGATGATTCCTCCGCCTCAGCCTCCTAAAGTGCTGGGATTATAGGCATGAGCCACTGCACCCAGCCTGATTTCACATCTTTTCAATACATCTTTCAGTTTAAGAAATGTGTGCTGGTGTTTGAACACTCACAAACCTAGGCAACTCTTCGTTTTAGTTATCCTTATATATTATGAGATCAATTAAAAAGCATCACATCTTACATTAAATATCATATTCTGTTGATAATTGTTTGAAAGAGCTTCTATTATTTTTGCTTTTAAAATAATTTGGCTTCCTATAATGTAATTTACTACTGTTTATAATTTAGCAACAATCATTGCAAGAATTCCTAAGTATGTGTTCATACTCACACAATGAGAAAAATCTAACCAATAAGTTGTTTTTAAAATTAAATGTCAATTTTTAAATAAAATTAAATATGCTTATTTAAAAAGTTTGCATAATGTTAGATTTTGTAGACATTTATTTACATATTTATTAAGTTCAATTTCACAGTTTTCTTGTATATATTAAAGCTAATTTTTTCCAGACCTCAAACATTTCAGATTCTAAAAAATCTCTAGTTGTTAGGGCCTGTGCAGGACTTCAAACACTGTGGGCCACATACAGAGAGCAAAAACATGTACCTTCCTTGGTCAATAGGCAAGACCATTGCAAGAGAAGTTTTGTTACCGTCGGAGTAACTTACGGTAGAGAATTTGGAGGCCTTCACTCTTTACTTCCGTTAGCCAAAGGACTAAGTTTCAAAGGATTTACAACTCTTTCTTCTTTCTTGGTAGCAACTGGGTTTGTGGTTGCAAACAGGGATAAGGTGACTAGCTTCTTTGATTATTTAACAAAATGTTTTCTTCAATGGTTAAATGCCTACACTTAGCTCTTATTACATATAATTAACAGCCATATAGCCAATAATCCCTCAAGAAGGAATCTTTGTTGGGTACTTACTAAATTCCAGATTTCATGCTAGGGGCTATATGGATGTGAGTATATGAACTCATGAATACGTGAGCTCAATATTTTAAAAACTTTTTTAAAGATGAGGGAACTGGGGATCAGAAAAATTAAATATTATATCTAGGTCCTGAGATCAAGTAAAAGGTAATGCACCCACACATTGCACAAATCTTCACACTTGTATAGTTATCTTGTTTTCTATTTTAATTTGAGTATTGCTGGCATAAGAGACTACTGTATCATTATTCTAATAATTTTGTCATTTTTCTCTTGGGTTTCCTTTTGGGATGATCATGTTGACTTTAGATTATGATATTTATTTATAATCTTTATACTTCCTTTTCCCTTTTTTGTTTTATTATTTTAGTTAGGTTCTGCAAAACAATGTGAAATAGAAGCTATAATAATGGACATCCTTTTCTGTTTCCTAACTTTAGTGCAAATGCTTTTAAAATATCACTATTGATACAGGATTTTGGGAAATTAGCATTATCATATCTAAGAAGACTGATTCCAAGTTTGCTGGGATTCTTTTCTAAAGATAAGATTGAATTTGTGAATGCTTCATTTGATTTGTTCCCATGTATTTATCCATATTTCTCTACAGGCTATAGAACTACAGCCTTAAATCTGGAAACTTACCTAGTATTTGGTCCTTAAGGTCTTTTCCATTAGAGATTGGCAACTGGGAGTTGGGATTCCAGTGAGGATGCTGATTATGAAGTAAAACATTTATTTACTTCAAACTATGCTTCCCATTACCTTATCAGAGTGCTGTAAAGAAGAAAGGACTAAAGACTGAGAAATTTCATCTTCATCTCTGTATAATCTTAAATATTTTACCTTAATAAGTAGGTCTTATTTATTTTGCTATGTCCAGCTGGTAAAAACAAAAGCAAACAAGTAAACCTTTTCCCCTCTTTCTTTGAGCTGTTTGTAGGAAGGGACAATGTTATAGACATCAAGATGAAATAAGACTGAACTTGTTTTTATCTGCTGACACACTCTTAGCCTCTTGAAAGCCCCCTGCAGACTGCAAGCCACAGGTTTGATATGTTGCACAGCTCTTCCCCTGTTGCTTCCAGCTCAGGACATTGGGGCCAACTTGTCTGTGAAAAATCAGGCTTTTATAAGAAATCTCAAGGAAAAAGGCTGAACTCTCTTGGTGGCTCCCAAGCACAAATAACTTTCTTATGTGAGTTTTTCACATTTTGCAATTGGGGTCAGAGGAAAATAGTTTCCATTCCACGTGACTCTGGGTGGCGTAAGCCCCCTTCTAGTCCTAGCTCTGTCATTTCACTCCTCTAGACCTCAGTTACCTCTTCTGTAATATAAAGTGATTCAATCCTACAAAGCACTGACATTTGGACTCTTGTTTCCAGGAATCGCAGGGTGCTTATATCTTTCACCTCTCTGCCTTCCTTTCCCATTTATGCCTCTCTAAGGATGTCTCAATATGAATCTAGACACTTATCATGTGTTGAGCATAAGTGTGCCCCTCTGTTCAGATCAGCCTGCACCATGGACATGAGAACAAGGGATGTCATGACTATTTGCCAGTGAAGGAATGCACTTAAAGTGGCTTAAGCAATAATGGGGATTTATTGGCTTGTATAACTACAGTCTTGTATTACAGTCTTCACGTATGACTGGATCCACGTGCTCAAAGAATGGTGTGAGGAAAAGGGCTCTCTCCTCTTCTCCCTGCCACTTGGCTCTCCTCAAGTTGGCTTCATTCTCAGGCAGCATTCTTCATGCTGGCTTCAGCTTGCATTATAACTTCTGCAGAAAGAGAGCTTCTCTCTCCTGAAGTCTTGGGTTGGCTTTAATTATCTCAACTTGTGTCACATACTCTGTATCAGTCAGGACCCTAACAGGAAGTAGTTCACTGAAATTGGATGATTTGAGGAGACTTTAATTAGAGACTGTTCTCAAATACGTAGGCAGTGTACAGGGAAAACACAGAGAACAGAGGCACCCTGAGGCTGTAACACTGGGATTCTATTATTATTCCCAGGCGTGGAAACAGAAAGAGCTGTGGGGCCAGGACTGTCTGATGGACTGCAACCTTCCTTTGAGGGCTGCATTTATCCATGGTGAATACATAGCGCATTCGACCTCCTTCCTCCCTCTGCTCTTTTGCTAATGTTTGCCAATGGCAGACACTAAATAGAAGCCAGAAGGTAAGGGAGCTCGCTGATGAAGCCTGCACTGGTCAACTTCTTGGGCACAGAGCAGAGTGGGAGAGTGGATCAGATGGGAGATACCCATCCTATGCACACTTCTGAATACTGCAATTCCTGTGGCTGAGGGAAATTAGCGTGTGATTGATTAACCATGGATGGAGCTGACGATGAGGCCAGGCTTACCTCAACTAAATGAGCTGTGTGTGTGTGTATGTGTATGCACGTGTGTGCATGTGCATATCACAGCAGACCTTCAAAACAGACCTATCATGTGAGTGCAATTATGTTTCCTAGGTCATCAATAAAGCAACTGAGACAAGCATGGTTAGGTCACCTACCTAAGGTCACAAAGTCTTACAAGCTTTGTAAGTATGAGTCCACTGCTCACTTGTACAAATGAGGGTAAAGACAGACTGTCAGAGTTTCAGGGAAACCAAAAGGAAAGCAGCCAAAGAGACACTTACAATGGCAAGAAAAAAATCCCTGGGAAATTGCTGCTGGTCCTGAAAATACATCATGGTGTGTTACCAGATAAAGAGAGAGAGGATCCTGGGCTGGAAAAAAATAGCAGGAGACTACCATGGGGCAAATGCATTTCTCTTGACTTGTGCTTATTCTAACCAGTCTTGAAGACACACTGATACTTCTCTTAGGTCTTCTCCTGGCAGGACTGAAGTGAACCTTGATTGACCAAGGTGGCCCTGGTTGCTGAGGCTCAGCCTCCTCACCCTATGTGGATTTGTTCATGCTCCTCTGTGCAAAGTTCCCTGGAAAACATGCTCCCCATGCTGATGGCTTGGCCTGATCCACAAGCTTCAACCTGAGTTGACCTTTGGCTCCCCATTGGCTGCCACCAAGCCTTGCCCCTTCCAGGCCAGTGTGTGTTGTTCTCCCATCATTTGACACCCAATTCCAGTTCTTTCTCTTCATCCCCAATTTTAGACCAGATAAACAACTTTTAACTGTTTTCCATTCCATGGACTATTTCTCATTTTAGGTGCTCAGATTCAGAATCCCAGTGATCTGTGATAAAACCACATTTTTGAGCTAATGGCCTTTGAGGATGCTACTTTTCTGTTGGTGCTGCAAGATGGAATTTTAGAGACTCCAGCTCTAGGCAGCTCCCCTTTCTCTTCACTTCCCCCCTCCAACATCATGCACTCTCCCAGGGCTCAGTAAATTACACTATCACAGCTCACCCAGCAGTGGTCACTTGGCAAAGAAAGGTGCTTCTGATGGTGGTCACAGAGGAGTGTCACAGAGGAAAGGCAAACAGGAAGGGAGAGAAGACCATGGAGAGAAAATATTCTGTAATTCTGAGCATTGTTGCTGTAGAAACTTCAAACTCTAGACCAAAATGTTCCCCAGAATGTTACCAACTTGTACCCCATTCTCCTCCCTATCCTTTCTCCTCCTCGCATCCCCCACCAGGGAGAAGCAAATGGGAATTGTGCATGTAAAAGAACATGGGGAAAAGGAGACATTCTTTCTCAAGAAGACAGCAAAACACCTGTCATTGTTGACATGATGCATTGAGTATGTATCCGTAATAGAGTCATAAAATATTCTGTCTTGGGAGAGAGCCTGAGTGCTTGCTGCACTTGTTGCTATGGCAGCTGGACAGTTTTAAGAAATGCAAATCACAAGTCTTTGGCTCATAGGGTCTTCTTTTTTCAGGACCAGCAGTAATTTCCCAGGGATTTTTTTCTTTGCCATTGTAAGTCTCTCTTGCACTGCTCCCCTCTTGGTTTCTCTGAGACTCTGATAGTTTCTCTTTACCCTCATTTTATAAGTGAACAGTGGACTCCTACTTATGAAGCTTATGAGACTTTGTGACCTCGGGTAGGTAATGTAGCTGTGCTTGCCTCAGTTGCCTTATTTATGACATGGGAATCTAATTGCATTCATGTGATAGGTCTGTTGTGAAGATTAAGCGAGATAATGCAAACAAACTGCAGAGCACTATGCCTGGTGTTAGAAAATGTTGCTTATTATTATTGAAAGGGAAAATATGGATTACGGGGATCTTATAACAGGCAACAGGAGTTCAGGCCCTGTGATCTAGCCCTGAGAAGGTGAATAAGAGTGCTTGGTGTTCCTTTGCTTCATTGCTTCTCCTGTTTCTTGAGCCTGTGCCTGGGTTAACTCTTGCTTTGCTGGACTTTCCTTTCTCTGCTGTCTCCCCCGGGATGGCAAAGATAGTGGCAGATGCTTTGAGGACAAGGCCTGTGGCTTTAATCTTCTTTGGATCCCTCAGGGCCTCTCACATGATGTTTTGCACATAGTAAGTGCTCAGGAAGTGTCTATGTGTTGATACCTGCATGCGGAGGGGGCCACTCCAAAAAGGGAAAATGCTACTGAACACCTACCTGGAGGTGGGAATTTACATGAACAATTCTGGCCTCACAGGGAAATTTTCTCCCAGTCCTCTCTGGCTCCCATTTTCCTTTGGTCAAAGTTCAGTTACCAGGAGCCACTTCTTCACACCTTTAACTTTTGTCCACTTGCCTCCAGCAGCCATTCAGGAACTAGAACCAGCATGCTCCCTGGGGCTGAATTCCATCCATTCCCCATTTCAGCCCAGGTGGGGCACTGACAAGGAGAAGAAAGGAAGGGGAAGACTGAGAGGACACTCGAGGGGTCCAAAGCTGCACTTTGTCTTTCCTCTTCTGCTTTTTCCTTTAATTAACACATTATTTGTAAGTAATAATGTACTGCATTAAGTAATTAAGTAATGAATGCATACAGTCCTCATATATTGCATTGTCGCAAAAGTAATTGTGATTTTTGCCGTTACTTTCAGTGGCAAAAAGAGCAATTACTTTTGCACCAACCTCATATATGTATAAAAATATTCAAGCAAACAGAAAAAAGTACTTCTTCTCTCTCTGAAGGTCATTGCTGTTATCATATTAGTGTTTATCCAGATGCTTTTATTTATTTAAATGTATAGATACACATACACACAAAGAAAAATGTGCCTTTGTGTTTTATATGTATTTTATCTAATAAATAATATTATTCTGCATTTATCATTTGTAGCTTTTTTTTTTTTCTCCTTAGTTATATTTCTTACCATGTTGGCACTCAATCTTTTTACCTGCTACATGATAGAAGTTTGTAGTATCATTATTCCACAGTTTATTTAATTAATCTTCTACTAATGGAGAGTTAGGTTGTTTTTATTTTTCTTTATACAGTGAGCATTATAAAACATGAATTGTTATACATAGGTACTTGTTTTTCACCAAGACAAATACCTTTCACTGGTATTGCTGGTCTTTTTAGTAAGTTTTCTTTTATACTGATTACTAAAATGTTATTATTTTCTTCATTAAAGTCTTAGAAATGTTTGTGAGCTATATTCTTAGCTAGTTTCATAATTTCTATTTTGAACAAGAATCTGTTATTCTGTTATATTTTATAATGAGTTATCTTTGGTGTATAGGAAACCTATTTTTTTTTACTTTATTTTTATATTTTTAAAATAAAATTATGTTATTTTTTGTAGAGATGGGGTCTTGTTGTGTTGCCCAGGCTGGTCTCAAATTCCTGGCCTCAAGCGTTCTTCCTGCCTTTGCCTCCCAAAGTGCTGGTATTACAGGTGTGAGCCACTGCACCTAGTCTCTATTGACTTTTCAGTACTGATCTTACTTTGGATCACTTTGCTGAAACTGCTTATGAATCCTAAAATCCTTTTAGATCTTTCAGTTATATTATCTGCAAAAAATGATAATTTTTCCCTTCCTTTCTAATTCTTATATTGCACTTCTTTTTCTTATCTTATTGCATTTGCAATACTATTCACTCAAAGTTCGTCCAAATCTTCACACCCTTGGTCTTAAGGGAGAAATATCTCACGGGAATAGTCAGGAGCATATAGATTTACTGATATTTTATGGTATTTCTCAGTAGTAGTTTTTCTGCCATGGGAAATGGTTTGATGATTAGAAAAAACCACATGAGGGCGGATTCCAAGGGAGACATAAAGGTTCTTCTTGCTCACTGCCCTGAAAAAAATTAATGCACTTAGAACAGCAAGCGGTGCAGCAAAGAAAGAATTTAATTATTGAAGGGCCAGCCATGCAGGAGGATAAGAGAAATTTCTCAAATTTGCCTTCCCAATAATTCAGAGGCTAGGGTTTTAAAAAATACTTGGGATAGCAAGGGGGCACTGGGGAACTAAAATAATTGATTGGCTGTGGATGAAATCACAGTCTTAGTCACTTTCCAGGAGGGGGTCGCAGGACCATGTGGCATCTCTTGGTCGGTCAAAATGTTAAATCTGAAAAATATCTCAAAGCCCAGTAGTTGGGGAAGTTGTAAATTCTGCGACCTCTGGTTATGTGACTGTGGAGCAGTCAGCCCCTTATAGAGAAGCAAGCTAGGCATGGCAGGTTATTGTTTAACTATGCCTATTCTTTAGCAAAGTTCATGCCCCTACCATAATTCTAACCTTGTGATCTTTTGTTAGTCTTTACAAATAGAGTTTCAATTTTTGAACAAGGAGGGAATCAATTCAAGGAAAGGACTATTATGGCTTTACACAAGAATAAGCAAAAGCAATTTAGCCCAGTAGAAGCAAGATGGAGTCAGTTATGTCAGATTTCCCTTACTACTAGAAGTTCTGCAAAGACAGTTTCAATAATGGAAAAGAAGATTGGAATGTTCTTTCAACAGCTATCAAAAGGTGTTGTCAACAATATCCACTAACAAAGGAATTAGACAGCTCTTGTAGATGTGCATATGGGTTTTCTTTCTTTTACTTATTTTTTCTTTTTTTTGAGACAGACTTTTGCTCTTGTTGCCCAGGCTGGAATGCAGTGGCACAATCTTGGCTCACTGAAACCTCCACTTTCTGGTTTCAAGTGATTCTCCTGCCTCAGCCTCCTGAGTAGCTGGGATTCCAGGAACCCACCAACACACCACGCTAATTTTTGTGTTTTTAGTAGACATGGGGTTTCACCATGTTGGCCAGGCTGGTCTCAAACTCCTGACCTCGTGATCCACCTACCTTGGCCTCCCAAAGTGCTGGATTACAGGCGTGAGTCACCACACCTGGCCATATATATGTTTTCTAACAGCTTTGTCTTGTGGCCCAGGATTGTGTTAGACTTGTGGTTGGAGATTTTCAGACTTAATGACAAGTTGTCAAAGGATCACACCCAGATAGACCTAACTCAACTCTATCTTCATGCCTGTGAAGGTGACAACCTGCTATGCTCCCAACCTGATATCAAAAGTGTTTGCAATATATCAGACTGGCTCCATGGATCCATTCACTCTCTCCATCACCTTCCATTGTGATGAATGTTCATAGCCTATACTTCTAGGTACTATCTCAGGTTGAGTCTCAACAGTGGACTCAAACAAGTTGATTGGATATAGGGCTACTCTACACCTTTGACTCTTTGGCACAAATCTCTGAATTATGGATTTAACCAGGCTAATGATGTGGGAGTGGCAATGGTGGAAATCAATATAATGAATATCAGAAATTCCCCAGTGTGGACATGTCTTTTTTCATAATAAGATCATTGAAGGACACTGCACAACATACCTCCTTGTATTTCAGTGATCACTAATTGCCTTCTGCAAAGTGCTTCAAATCACATACCCCTTTGGAAATAGATTTTAAAGTTGCTCAGTCTCAGAAGAAGTTGGACTCTAATTTAGTGCTTTAATATTGTTATGCTTTGTGTGGAGGCATTTAAAAAACTTTTATTATTTTACATGAGAAATCTACCCCTGGAGTTCAGTGATATAAAGAAGTTACCAAACTTTAAGTGAAAATCTTAGACTTTAATGAAGTGGATTTTCTCATCTTTCTTTCCTTAAGAAAATGTCAAACTTTGGGACTCAAAGTAGAACTGGAGGGCCTTGAGTAAATATGCACGAAGATGAAATAGCAATGTGGGCAGCCTGGCTCTGGAACAGACAAATCCTAATGATATTGCTTCTGTGGGTTTTCTCTTCTCTCCCTCTTGTGCATTTCTTCCTGAGTGATGCTCTGGGCCTGACAGAGAAGCACATGAGGTTTTCTGGTTGCTGGAGTGAGGTTATTTAAAGTAATAAAATTCTGCCAACTAAAGTTTAGGAGGAAAATGCTTAGTAACTGTTGGGAAACAGCCAGTGCCTAGGAAAGCAGTAAGTAGTGTGACCAGAAAAGGAGCTCAGTGGCTTGTGCAACAGTGGTGGTTCTCCAGGATAGAGGTCAGCTCCTTTGGTGGACACTGGGAAGATTCCTATTTGAATCTTGGTCACAAATGAAATTTCCATTGGACTGTAAGCTCCATGAGGACACAGCTAGTGTTTTGTTTTGGCCAGGGCATCTCTTGTGCCTGGGTCACAAATCTGCCCTGGTAAAATTCAACTGAAAGAGTCCACAGGGGAGAAATATGAATGACATAGCAGATGCCTCTGATGCCTGCATGTGCGACATCCCTTCATTTACTTCTGAATCAGCTGTAGCTGCCATGGACTCGCCCCGTGCTGCTAGCTACCCACCTCAGATATGCAAGGCTGCAAGGTGAATCTTCCAGCCCTCCGCTTCAGGGTCCTCTTGGAGGTCACAGGAATTTGCTTGGCTGTGCATTGCAGACTAGAGATGGGGTGACATTAACTCCCTGGGCAGCCCTCAGCCAGTGAGGCTGGCAGCTGGTGAATACTTGCTGGTGGATAAAGTCCCTTGTCTTTCAGGTGGACAACTGTGGCAGGCATCCTGTATGTGTAGAAGTGATTTCCTGTTGCTCACAGCAGCAACCCCGGTAACACACCCTAACATTTGCTTTTCCTCCTTCCCTGTTTCATTCTCCCTCCTCCCTCATTCCTGCTTCCTGATA